TAGTGAGCGTGGTTTCATTTTGTGTTCTCCTCCCTACCAATGAGGTTCAGCACATTTTCCTAAGTTTTTGTCCCGTTGGATATTCTCTTTTGTAAGGTCCCTGTTCAAGTGTCTTGCTTGTTATCCTATTGGGTTATCTGTCATTTTCTTATTGGTTGGTAGGAGTTCTTTGCATATTCTGGATGAGTCTCTTATTGGATACACGTTTTGCAAATACTTCCTCCCATTCTATGACTTACTTTGTCATTCTTAGTGGTATTTTTTGATGACCAGAAGCTTTTAATTTTAATGTTGTTCAATGTTTCAATCTTTTCCTTTATGGTAACACTTCTTGTCCTGTTTAAGTCTTTTCTTATGCCAAAGTTATGAAGATATTCTCCTATATCATATTTTAGAAGTTTTATCGTTTTGCCTTTTATATTAACATCTCAATGTACAGCAAATTGATTTGGGAGTGTCTGTGTGAGGTAGGGATCAAGATACATTTTTCTATGAGTATCCAACTAGCCCAGAGCCATTCGTTGAAAAGGCTATCCTCTACTGCACCGACTTTGTCATAAATCAAGTTACCATATATGCATGGGTTGCCTACTGGGCTCTATTCTGTTTCATAAGTCTATTTATCCTTGCACCAATGCTGCCTCATCTTAAATACTGTAGCTTTATAAGTCTTAATATCTGGTAGAGGAAATCTCCTCTTGTTTCAGTTATTCTTGGCCCTTTGCAATGTTAAAAATGTATTGGACCCCCACTGCAGTCTTGTACGTCTTGTGTGTGTGTCTGTGTGTTTCTTTCTGTGTCCATCCCCCGTTCTGCAATCTGGGCCGTGACAACTGGCGCAGCGAGCAGGGTCTGTGTCGTTCAGGACGGAGGGACTGAAGAGGCACCCCTTTGGCAACAGTCTACAGATGCTGGAGCTACCGGAAAATAAAGAATGATCAACGCCATCAAAATATCATGACGGTTTTTGAACATATTCGATCTCAAAATTAAACCAAAAAGGGGGAGATGTAGGGACCGTCCCTGGGCAAAATTGGCTTAAGCCCAGAGTCAGCCAAACTGGGTGTGCTCTCCTTGGCGCCAGAGGTCAATAGGCCCGGGCACAGCCTGTTGACCAAACAGAACTATTCCTCATGACAGATAGCTTTATGACAGATAACCAAGCGCCTGGGGTCTTGCAAACAAGCCAAGGTGTCTCATTGTCCTGCATACCGTAATGAGATAAAGAAGTTAAGATGCAAGAAGTTAAGATGCAAACGTCTGCTTCCCTTAAGCAATCGTCTGGAAGGAATGAAAATGTATTTTTCTCAGGGCGCCCAAGGTAGTCACGTGCCAGGAAGTAGCTGCCGGACAGAGAAAAGTATAAGAATAAAGCGACTGGTGGAATCCTCACTGCAGTCTTGTACGTCTAAAAAAAAAAAAAAAAATGTATTGGAGTGAGCTTGTTAAATTACACACACGTGCACACACACAAACATGTTGGAATTTTTATTAGAATTTTATTCTAACTCTATCAATTTTGGAAGATTGTATATCATTACAATTCATGAACATGGTATATCACTCCATTTATTTGTCTTCTTTAATTTTTTCAATTATGTTATATAGTTTGCTGTTTGGATGATATAAATGGTATTTTTTATTTTTATTTTTTTGAGACAGAATCTCTCTCTGTTGCCCTGGCTAGAGTGTAATGGCATCATAGTAGCTCACTGCAGCCTCAAACTCCTGGGCTCAAGTGATCCTCCTGCCTCAGCCTCCCGAGTAGCTTGGACTACAGGTACACACCACAGTGACTGGCTAATTTTCCTATTTTTTGTAGAGATGGGGTCTCACTCTTGCTCAAGCTGGTCTTGAACTCCTGACCTCAAGCTATCCTCCCACCTCAGTCTCCCAGAGTGATAGGATTATAGGCATGAGCCACTGTGCCAGGCCAGTATCTTCTATTTTTTAAGTTTTTCTAACTCCTTATTGCTGGTGTATAGAGAAAAACTGATTGTTATAATATATTGATCTTGTGTCTCATAATCCTGATAAACTTATTAGTATGAATAAAATTCTATAATTTTTCTATAAATTCTTTTGGATTTTCTACACACAAAAGTTTTATCATCTGTAAATATTTGCGTGTTTGTATTTTCCTTTTAATCCTATGTCTTTTGTTTTTCTTACTTTAGTGCACTGGCCAGGACCTCCCAGACAATTTGAATAAAAGTGATTATAGTGGGCATCTTTGTCTTATTCTTAATCTTAAATGGAAGGCATTCAACATTTCCCCACTGGGTTTGATATTTTCTACAGGCTTTTTGTACATAATATATATGAAATTAAGGAATTTTCCTTATATTCTTGGCAAACTTAAGTTTGCCAAGTTTTTTTGTCATTGTGCCCTTTTTTTACATCTATTTAAATGATCATATAATTTTTCTCCTATTCCCTTAAAGAATTTGCATAAAATTAGAAAATTAGTGGGTTTTTTCCTTAAATATTTTGTTGAATTCACCATTAACAATCTCCGGGCCTGGAGGTTTCTTTGTGGAAAGCTTTTTAATTATAAATTCAATTTATTTACTACTTAAAGGATTGTTCAGATTTTCTATTTTTTCTTGTGTGAGTTTTAGTGATTTGTATTTTTCCAGGGATATTTTCATTTTATCAAAATTTTCAAATTTGTTAGTATAAAGCAGTTCTTCATAATATTCTTTTATTATATCTTCATCTCTGTGACCTGCATTGTAGTGCCCTCTTTGTTCCTAATACTCATGTGCCATCTATATATTTTTTTCTGGATTGGTCTTAGGGATTTATCATTTTTCTAGTTTTTTCAAAAAAGACAACTTTTAGCTTTGTCGATCCCCTTTGTGGTAGTTCTGTTTTCTGTTTCATTGATCTCTGCTCTCATCTCTAGTGTTTCCCTCCTTCTACTTTCTTTAAGTTTAAGTTGCTACCTTTTCTAACTTCTTGAGGTAATTACTAGCTTTTCTTTTATATTTAAAATATATGAATTTAAAGCTATAAATTTCCCTTTAAGCATAGCCTTAGCAGCATCCCACAGGATTTCAGATGTAATATTTTCATTATCAATCAAGTCAAAATATTTTCTAATTTCCGTTGTAAATTTATCTTTGACCCATGAATTTTCCTCCCTCTCCAAAACATACTGCCCAAACTTCAGTGGGCATAAAAATAACCACCTGATGGCCTTGTCAAAACACAGATTTTGGAGCTCCGTTTCAAACCAGCCACATTAGTACTTCTGGGAGGTAGGCCTGGGTGATTTACATGCATGTGGGTCCCAGGCCCACAGTTTGGTGGCAGAGCAAGTCTGACTCACCTGTATCATCAGTGCCCACCACTGGGGCTAACATAAAGCCATGTTCAATAAATGAATGAACCAATGGATGGAGGAAGAAAGGAAGTGAAGCAAAATCAAATTTTTTATATAAAGAGAATTGGAATTCTTGGATGCTATAAATTAGGGGAGTCACTGTGGCATCATTTGGTCCCAATTTAATCCTATTCAAAACAGAACTAGTTTTCTTTTGTCTTCATCTCTCTACCTGCCAGATGTTCTCCTCACCTGTCCTATTCTGCCGTCCTGGGACATGGCCTTAAGTGTGGGTTCCTGCGTGTCTACTGGCCCAGAGAAAGTAGGAGTGGCACAGGACACTTCCTGAGAGGGACTGTTCAGAGGGGGGCAGTCTTCCTTCCCCACCCCCACCCCCAGCCCACTTTGCTGGAAAAATGCCCACAGAACCCCATTCTAAATAAAATGATCTATCCTACCTCTCGGAACCCCAAGCATCCCTCCCATTCCAAAGCTTTTAAGAAACTTCCACCGGATCTTTGTCCCAATCCAGACCCCACAGTCCCCCACACCCTGCCTCCTCTGCACTTGCAGCCCGTGAGAGTTGCTCTCTCAGCAGCTTCTTGGCCGGCTCTCCCCACCTCCACGCATGCCTCTCTCAGAAAGGCTGGAGCCTGACTTCCCCAGCCAGCTATTGTCCTGGCATCACAGCCACCACGCCAGCATCCCCACCCAGTCAGCCAGCCAGCCCGCTGCTTCCTGGCCTCCACAGCCCCGCTTCCCGCCCCGCCCCAGGGAGGACCAGACTGGTGGCTGGGAGTCTCCCTGCCTGCTCAGCCTCCCTCCTTCCCTCCCTCTCCCTCCCTGTCTCCCTCCCTCCCCCGCCTGCCCCTGAGGCAGGGACTGTGCAAATCGAGGAGAGGGGGGACAGACAGGCCGGATGGGGTCCAACTTAGAGCCCTGGACTCCCCACTGAGGCCCTATCCAGGCTGGGTGTCCCCAGCATCTTGGGACCTGGATTTGTGTATGCCGGGGTGGTTCCCCGGCCAGGAAGTTCTCTCCGGCAGGCCCATGGTGCCCTCGTTTTGCATCAGGACCCCCCTCGGATGCTCTGAGCCACCCTCCTCAACCCGGATCTAAAACCCGGAACACAGCTATCAGGCCAGCCTCTCTCTCCACCCCACCCCCTCTTTCTGGCGTCCATCCCCTCCCCAACACCACCTCTGCTGCTGCCTCTGGCTGTGGACCTGCACCTCTTCCCCATCCCCGGCAGGCCTGGGAAGCAGGGTGAGCCTGGATGAGAGCCCCCTCAACCTGGGGCTCTCCCAGGCTATGGCCCGTGTGCTCCCAGGGAGGAGCCCCGGACCCTGAGCATCTGCTAGAAGCTTGGCAGAGGCCCCGTGGGGACCGTGTCTTCTGAGGACAAAAGGCGGAGGCCAGCAGGCAGAGGGGGAGGGAGGGACCGGCAGCTAGGCGGGCAGACGGGTAGCAGGGGCCAGCGCTGGCCCCCTCCCATCTTGGCGGTGGCATGAAGATGGGGGTGGGAGTGTTCAGTGGGGGAAGCACCTGCTGGGACCCCCACCTGCCCCCTAGTTGGGCACCCCAAGGCTGTGTGCTGCCCACCTGGTGTTCCCCAACACCCCCAACCCTGCCCAGTGCACCCCTCTGGTGCCTGCTTTTCCTGGTGCCTGAGATTTAGACCAGCCCGGCTGTATCCACGGCAACAGAAGCAGGAGTGTCACTGGCCGCCAGATCACTGAGGGTCCCACAGTGTGATCTGAGCTGTGATTTATCCTGTGTGAGACAGCTTGAGCCCCCATCCTGGATTCCAAGACATCCCTGCTGAGAGAGCCCAGGTAAGCAGTCAGCATCCCTCCACTAAGGATAGGGGGCTGGGACTTCTCTTCTGTCTCCCCACACATATTTCAGTCTCCATCACTGCCATGCTGTCTCTCTCTGACTCTGTTAGTCTCTCTCTCTCTCTCTCTCTCTTTCTGCTCCATCACAGGGGCTACTTGGGCACTCAAGCCTGAAGACTCCTCATCTTTCCCTGTCTTCTCCAATCCCAAATGTCCCATGAGAAAGGGAGCCACCACCTGTTTCCCCTGCACAGGGTCTGCTTTTGTCATTATGGTCGCGTTTGGGCAAGAGGCTGTGTTAATATTTCCTTGTGTGCTAGTTGTGGAAGGGATGCCTGGGAGCTGGCCATGCACCCTGGGCAGGCTCAGCCTCTTGCAGCTGCCTCCTCTCTCTTTCCCTCCTCCACTCTCCTCCAGGATCCTTGGCCTGCTTGCTGGGCCTGTGTGTGTGTGTGTGTGTGTGCGCGCGCGCGCGCGCACACACCTGGGCAGTGAGCAAGTGGGTAGACATGACAGAGAAGCTGCTCCCACCCCAGACCACCCCCCACTCCTTTCCTCCTTTCCACCCTTCCTTCCTTCTCTCCTTCCTTCCTTCCTTCCACCCTCTGTCTCTCCCCACAGGTAGCACAGACTTTTGCTCACTCACCACTGAAGATACTGCTGTGCTTCCCAGCTAGGGGGAGAAGCCACTGTAGGGCTAAAGGAAGGTGAGGTGGGGGTGGGGCACACTTCCAGGCCCTGGACAGCCTGATGGCTCTGCAGGGGCAAAGACCAAGCCACTTGACAACCTGCAGGGGCCAGGCACAACATGCTCATCCCCACGGTGTGGGCCCCAGCCTCCACCACAGGGCTGTCTATCTCTGTTTCAGATGCCCGTGTCTGGGACTCCCAGATCTCATGGCCTTGTGCACAGTGGCCAGAGATCCTTATATCTGGAGGGGCAGGAAAACCTGATACATGGAGAAGATGGATTCTCCCAGGGACACTTCTCCCAACTACTAGCTCTGCAACTTTAGTGGAAGCATGCCACTTATTGAACCTCAGTTTTCCCATCTGTCAAAGAGACTGGTAACCCTTCCTTCATGGGTGTGTAGGGACTAAATGAGTTGGTGCATATAAATAAAGGATGTGCATCAAGGTGGCACTAAAGCAGTCAGCAAAGCTCATGGTCAATGTTGTTGATTACTCATGATTAATATCGTTATTGATTATTTGGGAGAGGGAACCGGTCCCTCTTCTCCAGGGTCTCAGCAGAGATGTGGGGAGGGCAGCAGGTGGGCAAATGGCAGGGAGGTGGGTGGGGAGTGGAGGGGAGGCAGGAGCAGCTCTATGTTCTTACTTCCCATTTGTAGGGAATGAGAAGTAGTGGCTATGGGCAGAACCACCCATCCCCACCCCGCTCCAGGCTTCTTTCCCTGTACATTTGCCTGTTTGTGCACACACACCACACACATACACACCACACACACACACATAGGCTTGAGCCCCTACGAGCCAGCAGAGGCCTGGCTTTCAGCCTACAATATTCCTGGCCCTGGTGATGTATGTGTCTCCCGTTGAGGGGAGACTTGGCAAGAGTTTGGCCTGTGGTCAGTGGTTGACAGGGCCTGGAGACAAGGCTGACGCTCCTGAGATCACAGGGCTTTGGGTAGAGCTGGGGTGTGGCCCATGCAGCAGCCAGACCTGTGGGGGAGGGGTCCCAGGGAGTTGCTCACCTAGACCCTAAGGTTGGGGAAGAATGGGATCTGCTCGCTGGTTTCTGGGTGTGGCGATATGGTGGGGTCAGTGGCCAGGGGAAGAGGGGAGGAGGGGAAAGGCTGAGGCCAAGAAGACCCGGCCTTTGAGGCATAGAGTAGACTTTTCTGAAGAAGCATTTGTTGTGGAAGGAAGAGGACCCAGCCTGTGGTCCACAGGCATCTGGGCCTGAGCGTGGGTGTATATGTGCTACTGAAAATGTGTGGCTGAGTGTGCAGTACGTGTGTCTGTTCATGGACACTGTGGATACGTATGAGTTCGTGTGTGTGAGCAGGCTGTGTGATGGCGTGTGTGTGAGTTTGTGGGTATCTGGGTAGGCCTGTGTGTGTACAAAGCGGTGGGTATGACTTTGCATGTCTGTCTGGGTAAGCAAATGGGCACGTTTGATTCTAAGCCTGAGTGTGGGTGTGTTTCTTTCAGCCAATAGGCCTGTTGAATGTCTGGTTGTATATGTGTGTTATCAGTTTGTCTTTGAGTGTACATGTCTGGCTGTATGTATATGAGTGTGGGTTTCAGAATGCCTGGATGTGCACATCCAAGTAGGTGAATACCTAGTTGTATCTGATTGTGTATATTGGTATATGCCCGCATGTGTATGTGAGTGTAGGTGCATCTAAATGGTGTGTTTGTGAGTGTAAGGACATAAACATGTGCATGTCTGTGCATGTATGGCAGGGTGTGTGTGTGTGTGTGTGTATGTGTGTGAACATGTTCTGTGTGGGTGTGTCTGTCCTGTATCTGTGTGAGTAGGCCTGTGAATTTGTGTGAATGTCTATGTGGACTCTCCAGTACTTTTGCATTATATATATGTCTGTGTGTGCATGTCTGAGTGTGTATCATCTACAGGCAAACCTATATGTCCACATCCAATTAGGGAAACGTTAGTGTGGGTAGGCACACTAGTATAAGGAGAACTAATTGTGTGAATAGGGGTGAGCATATGAATGAAGATATATTTTGCGGGTGTGCACATGTGATTTTGTGTATGAGTATGGCTGTGGGGGATGTATGCTTGTATACAAGCACATGGCTGTGTGCATAGGTGAATGGATGCATTTGTATATATGTCTAATTATGTTTGTGTGTGCACTGTTATGTGCGAGTGCATGTCTGATTGTGGCATGCATGAGTAACTATATTTCATAATATTTGTGTGCATGTCTCATTATGGGTTTTGTTTGAATTTCTGAGCGTGAGTGTGAGTGCAAGTGTGTGTTTGAATATGCCTGTGACTGTGAGTGTATATGTGTGTGTACATGCTAGTATGTGTGCACACATGACTGTGTATGTTTCATTGAACATGTCTTATATATATGCCTGTGTGTTCATGCATTTCTAATTGTGTGTGTGAATATGCCAGTGTCTATGCCTGTCTGAATGTACAGATATATGAATGTACCAGGTTGTACAGTTTTAATTATTGGCATATGTGTGTTTCTGTTTATGTACCTTTGTTCTGGAGCACATGTTGTAGAACAATGTAAGTAAATGTACATGCATGCCACTCTCAGCCTAGGAGTGTGTTTGAGTGTGTGTGTGCATGAGGATGTCTTTACGTGCATGTGTCTGTGATGAGTGTGGATCAGCGCCTGCGCAGATGTGCAGGTGTGTGAGTATGTGAGTATACTTCCATATGTGCATGTGTGTGAACATACCTTTGTGTCCGAGTCCATCTGTGGGAATGTAGGTGTAAATGATTCTTTTTTTGTTTGTGTGGCTTCTCATATGGGTGTGGGAATGTGTGGGAACGTACGTGGTATAAATATCTGGCTGTGATAGTGTGAGTGTGTTTTGTGAGTACATTTCCGTTTCCATGTCTGATTGTGTGCATATGGGAATGGATTAATGGACAGGTCTATGTGCATGTGAATATGCTCATAGGTGTGCATGTCCAGCTGTGCATACAAGTCTGCATGTTAGAATGTCTGCGTATCTATACATCATCTCATTTATAAGCATGTGCACGTCTGGGTGTTGATGTGTGTGAGTATGCCTGCACAGATGTGTGGTTGTGTGTAAATACACTTATTTGGTCATGTCTGGGTGTGTATGTGTACACATTTGGGAGCTTTCCTGTCTGTGTCCCTATTTGTTCATTGTCTCTTTGGGTGTGATACAGAGTCTGCCTGTCTGTGGACATGTGAAAGTGTGCCTGTGTGTACCCCTGTGTTTGTGAGTGGTTGTATGTCACCCATGGGCATTATTTCGTGTAAATGTATATCATGCATGCATGCCTGTGTTTAAGAGTAAATGGATGTACACATGTGTGACCACGTACAGGGCGAGTGTGCGTTATTGTAAATGTGCCCATGTGTAGGGATGAATGTATGTATTTGTGCACGTGCCTGTCTGATGGTGGGTGTGGGAGAAAGAGATACTTGGCCTTGGGCTTGTGCAGATAGGAATTATCACTGAAGGAGTGATAAGAGAGGGTATTTATGAGACTGTGTGACTGTATGTGTCCCTCAGCATGTACTTATGTGCCTGTCTGAGAGTCAGTTGTGCCCTGCTGGACCACGTCTGTCTGTAACTGTGTAAACATCCTACAGATTGGCAACAAGCTATGACACCTTAGCAGTCCATGACATTCCTTCTGAGGCCTCTCTGGCCTTGACCATGTGCTGGGCTTTTGTGGGAGTCTCAGGATAATTCCTGTCATCAGTCACACCCAAGAAGTAGGAACCAATCATGGCTGATGTCCTACTGTGGGAAAGGGACCTGTGAGCTTTTTAGAAAAAGATTCCTTGAAACACAAAGACCTCCCTTCTCATCTCCCCACCATTAAAGGTGCAGGGCAAAATGGCATTGTATGGTATCTAAGATTGGTAAATGGTTTTCACTGAAAGCACCCAAATTATGCCATCCAGGCAGAAATCTAAATGTGAATATGTATATATAAGTGAAAGTATATCTTAGGTGTGGGGAGAGAGAGAAAGAGAGAGGGAGAAAGGTGTGATATATCTGGTGAGAGAGAGAGAAAGGATGTGGATTGCAGGTAAAGGGAGCACGAGCGTTTCTGGGTAGGGTGTGTACGTGAGACATTTGGGTGTATTTGGGAGGGAAGGGGTGAACCTGGGTGTATGTAAAGTGGCCTGTTTGGATGGAGGATGGTATGAGTGAGAGTTGGGGTGGGAATATGTGTGAGGATGTGTATATTTGAGGGATGTGTGAGCATGGGTGTATCTGGATGGTGAGAGAGAGAGTGGGGGATTATCTGGATGGTATATGTGTTTGATAATGTG